ACAAGACCATCAGAGTGATCAAAAAGAAGAAACAGAGTATATGACTTTGAGATAAATTATATAAACGAGGGAAACGAAATGCCAAAGAAGCAACATCAATCCAAGGGTACTCCCAAGGCGAAAACAAGAACCATATTCATCGTCAATATGGGGAAGGGGGAAAATGACTTATAAGGCTAGATCTGGAGGCTCTTGTAAGTTGTTGAAACGTTAACTTTGGAGTCTCACTCATTTCCAAGGCAAACCTGCCTTGCTCTTAATAATCCTGTACCACAGAGATTCTAAAAGAAACTATCACAACCTAAATCCAATAGGTAAGGATTTTTACAGTAAGGTTCCCAATATCCAAACCCCTTTCCAGCTTTGGTAGCCAACACACAACTTATCTAAGCAAATGATCCCTCAAAGTCACACTTGAACCAGACCAAAGGAAATTCCTCATCACCCTCCTCTAGGCTCTCTACAACTTGTCTAGGAATTCTGAATAGAGATAGGTAATTAAGGAGATACTAGAAAAACACACCTAGACAAGAGTAACCCTAGCGCCTGATGAGAAAAGAACACATTTCCAACATTCAAAACACTAGAGATCTTATGCACAGAATCTGAAAAAGAAATAGTTCGAATTAGCCAACCTTCTAACACTCAACTCCTCTAAATTAATACTCGCTAGAATCACTCTTCCTGAAGTTAATGCGGAATCCCAAAACCACTCGAAAAGATGCAAGATGGCAAGGACATCCCAAAACTTTTCGATTTCCTAAGAAGCAATAGAATTGTGTCATCAGTAGACTAGAGGTAGGAAATCTCAACCCCATCATTCCCTACGTAAAGGCCCTTAAAAGCCCATTTTTTATAGCTGCGAGAAAGCACAAGACTTAATACATTGACAATAATTGTGAAAAAAAGGGGAAGAAGGGATCCCTTGCCTCAACCCCGTATGCCCTTGGAACAATCCCTAGACTTACTGTTCATCAGAATAAAAAACACCTCAAACTAGAGATCAAACCTGCCACCTAACACCAAAACCTTTCCTCTCCAAAGCCTTATCCAAAAAATCTCAGTTGACTTGATCATAAACCTTCTCAAAATTCAACTTAAAATCCATGTTCATTTTCTCAATCTTTGGATCTCCTCCCACCACCTGATTTGTGATAAGAAAGGCGTCCAAGATTTTCCGCAACCCATACAAGCACTTGAGTAAGTAGAAATCTTCTCATCAAGCACCTTATGTAACATAAGAGTGAGCGCTATTCATACTCACCTGAGCAAACTACTCTTTGATTGGAATTCTTATTCAAGTTAACTCACTGTTAACTGAAGACAAGTTCTCCACTTCTATGTAAGCCACAGATGAAGATGAAGATGTGTGCCCCCGAACCTGATGATCTATCCATGACGAGGATGAGATGGGTGAAACTAAGTGGAGTCCAAACCGACTGATAGATTAGCAGATGATCGTGGCTAGGTATGAATG